ATTGTAACAGAGCAAAAATTTTGAGTGTCGGGTTCTTGATTTGGTTCCTAGGTGGGGCACAGGCTGTATTTAATAAATCTACATGTACAGCCCTGCTGGCAACTACTTTTATGTACTTTTGAAAGAGTTACATCACAAAAGATATTTTCACGCAACGTAAGTACTCTTTTTGGTATTAGAATATTATATTGTAACAAAGTAATTTTGCTTAAACAAATAAAAATTATTAACCGAATATGTAAGTAGACACCTAAATTGGCATTTCAAAAAATATTAGTTTTGTTAATTAACTAGTATTGTTTTTAACAAATGAAGCTAAAATGGCGTCTTGGGGACGATTGTAACAATAAGTAAAGGGACGATTGTAACAGCTGAAAATAAATAATCTTATGTTTACAAACCATTACTTAACTCTTTAAGAACCACCAATAGTTTCCTATGTCATTTATATTATGTTGCATGTGCATTATTTTATTTGTCACCTTTCACAGCATAAATTAAAATTTTTAACCCCTTAAAGTAAAAAGTATAACCCTTTAGGTCTCTGCTCATTATTATTTTCATTCCTAAAATATCACTACTATTTTGATCAATAAAAAATATATCACAACTATGATAATATGCATCATTAACTATGTTTTAGTTGTAACAAGTGCAAGACTGTCAAAAATTGTTAATAACTAATATAATAACATTTAAAATAAGGTATTTATTTTTTTTTCTAGTAGAGGAGAGTCTCTCGTCTGTCAATTAATACTAATAATATATTGGATTTTTTGTTAGTTAAGAATAGCTAAGTAAGAAATGTTACAATTGACCCCACTCTCTCCTACCCAGGAAGAGAAATGTGTATATCTTTGTTAAATATCTTTGTTAAATATCTTTGGTGAGATCAAAATTTGGAAAATTTGTTTAAAATAAAGATAAATTTATATATTTATAATATCCTAAGTCCTGAGCCTAATTGTTTTAATTATTGCGTTTAAATTTAACCTATAACTTAAATGTACCTTTTGTTCCTTTTCCATAAGAAATCCCAAGTGAAAAGCATTTCCGAGGTCAGTATGGCAAACCCTGGAATCTTCACTTGTGGGCAGATAACGTTCTCTGACTGCATCTGCAATAGTTGTGTGACTCCAGTACAAGTAAGGGCGTTTATCAACGTAATACATTTTCATTAACACACCTAAAAAAAAAGGACACTTCTTCATAAGATGTAAATGCGCCACATTTTAAAGTAACCGATTTATACAGACGGAAGGAGTCATTATAAGCGCTGTTATAAACTACATAGATGCATCAAAAGTACAGATACAAACAGTTTAAATTAGACATTCAGATCAATGACTTCCTTTAATCGTGCATGTTAATTCATCCATCAGGATGTGAAAGAGTTCTGAGCGTTGTTTCTTTGCTCAGTCAGGTCAAAGAAAACAAACCTATAGTGAGTTTGAAAATAATATTCAAACACAATTCACCGAGCTAATAGGCGAGAGAACGGATACTTCACAGGCATGTATATTTACTACTCATCGGCTTGACATGAAAACCAAACCTTGCAGATCAATGAGGCCCTTCAAGTTTTATCAAATCAGGGTCACACTTCTGGTTGCGAGGATTTTGGAGACAGGCATTAGTATTATGATTAGGAATTTTAGAGACAGGCATTAGTATTATCATTAGGAATTTTAGAGACAGGAATTAGTATTAAAATTAGGGATTTGGGAGACAGGGATTTTGGAGAAAGGGATTACTATTAGCATTAGGGATTTTAAAGACAAGGATTATGGAGACAGATATTAGTATTAGCATTAAGGATTTTAGAGACAGGGATTTTGGAGATAGGGATTACTATTAGCATTAGGGATTTTAAAGACAAGGATTATGGAGACAAAGATTAGTATTAGCATTAAGGATTTTAGAGACAGGGATTTTGGAGACAGGGATTAGTATTAGTATTGCGAACTCTAGAGATAGGGATTAGTATAAGGGATTAGTATTCCAGGGACTTACTGTAAGGCATTAATGCCAAAAAAAGTAAAAATTTTGCTAAGTAACTTTTAATAATAAATTCCTTTTGAAATTACTTGTTTTACAGGAAAACATAGGTTTACAAAAAATTGATTCTTTAAAATTACTTCCTTTTGCTTAATTTTTTTCAAATATCAATTCAGTAATATTTACGATGTGTTCTTCTTTTGAATAACGGATGTACAATGCTTAATCTCATCAACTAGCTATGAATTTCTTCCTGAAACTAACCAAGACCTAACTATTTATTTAATATTTTCATTATTAACTATTTATTAAACCTAACTATTTATTAAATATTTTCATTGAGGGTTTCAAGTAAATAATAAGTTGGTAATAGTCAAATATTATTTTATAGAAATTGTGGCTTAGAGGTCAGTTAATGAAAAACATTTAAATTAACATTAGTTGATTAATGTATTAATTTATTAATTAATATATTATTTAATTAATTAATTTATTTATTTTTGTTTCTGAAAAATTTAAAGCAGACGTTTAAAAAATGATTTATTTGTGAACAACAGATTGCAATGGAGAATGGAGTGAAGCTTTAAAAAATCTAGATTTGGCGAAAAGATAAAATAAATCTTGAAGAAAAAAAACGTTTTATGCTGACAAGATTTCATTTGGTTGGGACAGAGGTACAAAATAAATTTATCAGTAAATAATCAGAATCAAATCTATCGAATTTAATAATTCACTGCAATGTTATATTAAGAGAAAATACTAAACTAGTAATATAAATATCTATTTAAACTTTAAGCAATAACGTAGAAATATTTTTTTAACATAAGGTAGAATTCTGGAGTTAGCATGATTCTAGGTGGTTTATAAGATTTAGATAGTTGATGGTTTAACGTTTGGTTAATAGTTGATGGCTCAAACGATTTAAATAGTTTAGATGGTTGAAAAAATTTTGTGAAAAAATTTTAAAAATGGAATAATAATCTTTTTGTATCTCATTAGTTCTTGAGTCTCATTTATCAATATTTTTTCCCACAACACCTTAAATACCACCAAAAGAATAAAAATCTATGATTCCAACCATCCTGAAATATTTATATTTTATTTCGAAAAATTGGTAAATTTCTGAAATTTCAGAACGTAATTTTAAAATTTCAAAAATACCATTAAGTACTATAGTTATGCTTAATCAATAAGTAAATTTCTTATAAAATTGTAAGTAACTTAACCAATCACTAAATAGCTGAAAACTAGTCAATACATTCTTGGCATTGCCAAAAGAAAATAATAAATGAAGGCTTGATAATTATTGTCATCTTTAAAATATAAAAGATACTTTAGGTTATTTATGAAAAATTTAAGTACATAATGCCCCTTAATCTTATGGTACAATTCCTAAACTATCTTTAAAAAATAGACGATTGATGATATATTGGTAAGAAATATGAATGCCTTTGCAAAACTATATCATAGGTATTTTCTCGAAAAAAAATTAAAATAACAAAGTTGCTAAATTCGTAAGAGTTACATCCTTACGAAAGTAATTAAAAATGTGTAGATAGAATACGCAATTGAATTCTGAGCTATTCAAAAATGAAGATTTATTTTTCTATTCTTAACCTTTTTCTCCGAAAATAACATCCTATAATTGAATACCTGCAATTGACGTCACGCGTAGATCAGCCAATCAAGTTCGACACGCACGCGAGTCGTCGCTTGCAGGTATCCAATCAAATCTGATCCGAAAATTGATTCAGCATTTAAATAAACTGAAGCTTAATCTGTAAGGTTGACGCGTCGTGCGCAACCACGTGATTATATTCAACCAAGTAATTAGTTGCAAATACTCAATTGAAATTTTAACACCAATATCGCAATATATTTTTTTCACAAAACTTTTCATTAAAATGTTCCTTTAAGACTTAAATTTAATTATATGACACTCAAGGAATGCAATCTTAAGGAGAAAAAAATTCTTTTTACGTGGTAAAGAACATTAAAAAGAGCTCTTTTAATTTTTTCCTTTTTCTATTAAAATATATATATATATATATATAAAAACTACACCACTTATTCCGGTTGAGTGTTGAGCTTACTTTTCTTTGTTCCAAATTTTCTGGAAGAATAGTTTTGTAATTAATTAAATTTAGGGTTTCTTTTTCTATTTTTTTTCTTTATAATTATGTGTGGTTATATCCTCTGATGAAATAAACCACAGATTGCATTTTACGATGAATCTTTTACGCTCAGTAATTTGCATTGTATTTTTTACTCATGCTTTTTTTTTCAAGATTCATACATATAGTTTTATTTCTTTTGAAACATTGTTTCAGGAGTTTTTGCGAACATAACAGTTGTTGCAGAATAAAAAAATAGTTTATAATTATTTCTATATGATTTTTTACATACCAATATTTTTGTTTCTTATTCGTTAAAAGATATATACGCTTATTTTTCAGAAAATTTGCAAAGTTTAGGCATTTGATAAAAAAAACAAAAAAAAAAAAACACATGGAATATTTTTTAATGAAATCCGTAAGTACTATAATAAAATTGAGTATGCTATTTTTCGTGTTTTTTTTATAGAATTAATATAAGATTGCGTAGCAATTTTCGGGGGTTGGCGAGCAGAGGGCGCAGCCCTCTAGTTGAAAGTATTTTTTAACGTAGAGTTCTTCTTACTGTGTGAAAAGCACTTGCAGTTGGTGCAGTTGCTAGTTTCTTCTTATTTGTATTTATCAAGTCCTAAAAATGACTCATTGGAGAATAAATATGAATTCTGTATGTAAAATTAGCTTAAGTAGAAATTTTTTTTTTTAATATTAACTGAGCACATAGAAATTAAAATAACGCACTTTTATGTAGATCTATGACGGTCAGTGGTTAAAGACATTGAGGACTGGGATTCGATCCTCAGTGGTTCTTTTGCCCGGCCTAGCTTCAAATAGAGAAGACCCAGCTTGTACGAGAAGTAAAATATGTGCAATGTGTTGACTTCCTAACTACAATCGTGCAACTGGACAGAATATTGAGGAGCCTTAACTTCTATAACCCCCTAGCGCACAACGAACTGCAAGAATCCTTTATTTTTACAGTTTCATATAAGACATTTATAGTTCAACACTCAAATAAAACATAAGCAGTTTTCTCAAAGAAATTTTTCTCACACATTTTACATTGATTGGTTAATAAAAAGCTCTATACTCAATATTTTCTTTCTTCAAATCGACTTATTGATAAGATATTCTTTGAGAAATAGGGCTATATTTGTTTATATTTATTTATCAAAAGTTTTATCATGAATGAGATTATTTTTATCAAATATATTTTTATCAACCCCTTGACCCAGATGGGACACCCGTGTCTTTTTATGAATTTTTTTTCTGACGTTCTTTACACTCAAAAATGCATTTTTGTATTTTCTAATTGTATAAAAAACGGTCTAATAGTTACTAAAGAAAATCTGTGAGATTATTAGATTTCTATCTTTACTAAAGTATAAAATTCGAAAAAGATAGTTTGGAATTCTTTTTCTCATTCACATTCAAAAATTCATCACTAATTGATTTTTTAAATTACAGAAATTTCAGCAAAATTAACTGTTTCTTTTAGATCTTATTAACTGTAAACAAGGGCAAAATTTGGAAAAAATTCTATATTCCTGGGAGTTAGCCGTGTTTGGAAGATTATACCTTTAGCACCAAAAGGAACCTGTGTTTTATGCTATATTTCGTTAGCATAATTTTTGAAATGCTAAATATAATTGTGTTTCACTTATTTTGACCTAAATCGTTTGGTAAAAATATTCTTTGTCAAAGGGTTAATAAAATGTTTTTCAATACATGTCGCTATTCGTTTTAATGTTATTATGCTAAAAAACGTTTTTAACTAGATAGATAATGAAATATACATACTTAGTTCTTTCTTTATGTCAAGCCAGCTACTTGTTGTAAACTCACACTTTTTACTATCTTGTTCGTTATCCATTTGAGGACCTTCATATTCTGTAGAAGCTAAAAGCTCAACAATTTCAGCTTCTCTTAAACCAAAACTAGTACACGTGAGATACGTTGATATTTTTCGTATCATCTCAACACCATATTTATTTTCTAAATCTATGAAAAATAAGTTCACTAATTCTTTCAGTGTTAAGGGCACATCTTTTTCTGCAATGCTTTTGGAGGAGGTCCAATTTTTGGCCACATTTGATAAAAGTTTCACGCACAAGGAACTCAAAGACTTATCTCCAATTTGTTCTTTAACTAACTGCCACTGTTCTGGGGTCAGGGAATACTTATTATCTTTTAAATTGGATTGCATCATGCTTAAAGCCGATTGCCCAGTAACGGGTAATATGTGTACGAAATTTTCATTGGTTGATATTCTGCTCTTAAGTAAACCTAAAATTTTCTCTTCTTCCTCAGCAATGGAACATATTATGTGGACGTTTGGCGGAAGGTTCCATGGAAGCCATCCAAGGATGGAAGCTTGGTTATTTGGCGCGCATCGTAAAGAATGCAGATTGTCAAGCACTATGACAAGGTCATCACTTTTAGCTTCCACTAACTTGATCAAGTCTTGAAACCATATGCTGAGCTTTCCAAGTTCAAAACTGTAGTGACTTGGACTTATTTCAAACCCGAACAATAAGCTGATGTGGAGACACAGATTGCGTAATAGTTCTGGTGTGAAAGATGTGCAAGGACTTCTTCCGACATGGCGAATGATGCGCACAACATCGTTTCCTAGCCACTCTGGACAGTACATGAATACCTGTAATTACAACAAGAAAATTTCAAGCTTTTGTAACAGCATAAAATAAATCAAATACTTAAGAAGAATATAACCTAAATTAGTATTGTTGTTATGCGTTTTCTAATATGATGTGAACTAAACTCAAGAAAGCTAAAGAATTTTGCTATTGATATTTACCGAAAAAGTTTAGAAAATCTGTTTAATAAAAATGATATTCAAAGCATTTGTATTAAAACCTTATAACTTTTTACCATTACTTTTCATTAGGAAGTCATAAGGATTGAAGCACTATTATTTAAAAATTAGTCTTTAATTATTGGTTCTGAAAACCACATTTACACAACCTGTCAAAATCTATTTTGACAATGAGCCAACCGGCCTGTGTGGGGGCTAGGGAACTGCCCTTGCATCAGAAAGGTTCTGGGTTCGAATTCCGGGCAAGGCATGGATGTACTATCTGTCCTTACTGTGGGAGCAACGTTGGCCCACCTAATAGGGTGCCAGTGAAAGAGTGGCCAACAAATCTGTGATTCAGGTGCTTGTATGACCTAAGTCATTATTCAGGTGGGCATTGGACAAAAAAAATTGACAATGAATGACGATAATTCATATTTTCATTTCATTTCGCTCCCCTTTTGTTTTAACCGCAAGAGATTTATCGCGTGATATGTGAAAACGTGTCCATCGAGTCAGTATATTCCGCACAAACAAATAAATGAAAAAATTGCTTTATTATTGCAAGTCATTCCGTTTTTTAAGATTCCAAAACATTTATTAAAAAAGTAAAAAGCTTAGTAAAGATTAAAAAAACTAAGACTTGGTTTGTTTAATACCAATATTTTTATAGTAATATACAGTGGGCAAAAAAATGGACAAACCTGAATAACTTTTGATCTAATGATCGAATCCTCGCGTTCTAGGACTTAATCTTAATGTTTCGAGGTAGTGACTTCAAATATTTTAGTTATTTAGAGCAGACGATATTTTAAGTAATGAAATCAGAGATAAAAACGGACCTTCTCTAAGTGAACATACATTTTGTTTCGATGGATTCGAATTTCTGACCCCAAAAGTAAAGGAGTTAGCTGCAATCTGGGAAATATGGTCCCAATAACTTGGTCAGGAAGGTGCTCCAAAGTTTGGACCATTTAATGCTAATTTTACTTTTTGCGTGAAAGTGAATTGAAAAATTTTTGCACACAATTATAACATTCGCTTTGCCAGAAATAACTCCATGCAAAAAATAACTTTTCCTAAATATTTATTATTTTTTATTACTTTATTTAATAATGGTCAAAAATTTTGAATTGCAAGGTATACAATTTCTTGCACAATTTTAAAGAACTTAATTTTGCAAGGCAAAATGCAAAATTTGAGCAAAATTGGTCGGTCGAATAGTTCCTAAGAAAACAAATTTTAAATGTTTTCAATTCAATTTCTCAGGAAATATTAACAATATTGCACGAAAAATAAGTTTGAATACAAAATCAAAATTGCCTTTTTCAGCTCGCCAAGTTTTAAGGCAGTAGTATAAATGTGACTAAGACTTCAGAGTTTTTAAATTGCATTGCAGCTCCCAGATACTTCCCAGCTAAAATTATGGCTATTAATAAAGATCATAACTTGTTCTATGACACTATTTTGATATAGAGAAACTCTCATACAGACCTTATCTTCTTCAAAAATGGTCTAAAGATTCGGAAAGGCTTTATTAAAGAGGATTTGATGTTGTAACAGGAAAAGATAAACGAACACGTGAAACCTTTACATTAGATTTTACTTTTCATTTACTTCACTTAGAGCATTTGCTTTATTTAAGTTTAAAATTAGTTAAGAGAAAATGCAAGACGATTTGTTTTTATTAGTATGATGATCATATTGGTTGTATATATTCACCTGAGAGAGAAGAGTAGATTTCCCTGATCCATCTTGACCATAGACGATTACGGGTGAATGCCTCATTCGGTTTTCATCTTGAATGATCATCAAATTTTGAATTTGAAGAAGTGCTCCACAGTCACTGTCCAGTGACTGTGATACTCCCAACACCCTTAAATGCTGCCGACTGTTGCTTAAATGACTTTGTGACTCTCTTACTACTTCCTACAAGACAACATACGTCATTTTCATTAAGAGAACACCATTGCTGTGTTTTAATAAGAATATTCAATGAAAGAATAGTATCTATACCTTAACTGAATATAGAGTGAGAACCTCTATAGTAAAATAACCTTCAAATTACAATAACATTGAAAGATTTATTTGTTGTTGATATTAAGAAACATTGAGACATTAGAAATTGATATTAGGGGTGACACTAAGTGATTTTTAAGTGTTACTAATTTTTAAAGTGTTAGAGTTAAGATCTACTTAATAAAGTTCCTTGCAAATTGATTTTTTCACTATCATGCTTCTTTTCACACGCAGAAAAATATCTTGGTAAAATTACCTTACTATAATGATATTTCTGGTTTAAAACTAAACATAATTCTAGTAATAAAACCAATTTGTATGCAATGGTTTACTGGAAATTTTAGTTATCAAAATTATAGCTCCTCACACATTTTGTAAAAAAGTATAAAACTGAAGAATAATAAATTTATTTGGATTTTATGTCATGCTCTAAGGCATCATGCTAAAATTACCAAATATTTAAGAAAATTTATCACTTATTATAAAACATATATTTTATTTTAATTACCGAGATTATTTTTAATTAAAATTTTATTTTTAATTATTTTTAATTACCAAAAATTACCGAACTTTTTAACACTCCCATAAAGATGGACACATGGTAAGTTTTACCATATTCTGGTATTTTTGACAATATTTTTTTCTCAGTATATGCATTTTATTTTATTTGTGAGCATTAACAGTAATAAAAATATGAGTTCATGAGGGTCATATAAATTAATAGTTAATGAATTGATGGCATATTCCTGATGCTTTGCTAGCGAAACTTTGCAAAGTCTTGCATTTAGCAGGCGAATAAGTACCGAAAGAAAAGAAAAAATTTCAAAGACTAGGAAGATTATTTTAATGGTAGCGCAGAGCTAAGCATCACAAACTAAAGCTAAGGGAAAATTCACATTTTTTTGGTGGATAAAAGCTATTAGATAAACTCATGTATTTTAAATTTAAGTATTTTTTATTCTCTTTAAAAAATCGATCTATTTAACTTTTTTGCATTACTTTTATCTGACGAAAAGAAATGAGATGAGAAAAATTAAGTTTTTGCCATAAATAAATAATAAAAAAAACCTTTTATTTTTTATTGATACATTACATTATCTCCTAACATGGAACAAATCAAATACTTACGTTTACTGATGTAGTTTTGGTAGTTTAATCCGTTATTGAAACTAAAAAAATAATATGAAAACTATCTTCATTAGGGAGTTCCAACCGTGACTATTTCCTTACAAACTATAATGCTTTTATCTCTTTTTCTTTTACGTATTTTTTCTTTTACGTGTTTTTTCTTCTTTGAAATATGCGACGATATACTAGATCATTTTTCTGCAATATGTTTATAGTCTTTACTCTCGAAAAACAATAATTTGTCTTCTTTTTTTAATGTCTGGAGAAAAAAAGCAGGTCTATCTGTTATTTTTAGGAAGGTACTTAGTGAAAAACTTTTTATGCTTTTCTACTCTAAGATACTTCCGAAATTAAGTTACATATAACTGTCATTTTTTTTATTTTAGATTTAAATTATTTTGTGATAGACAGTCTGAAGCATGAATAAAAATTATTTAGCTTAGGAAGAAAGGAAAAGGATATTTTTGCAGTTTTTTATAAATCTTTGTTACTTTAGCGAAAGTTATTATATATTATTATTTTATTCAAGTTGGGGAGTACCAGGGAAACGATTACTATTTATGATTCTAAGCATGAAAATAAAATAAAAACTGATCTTAAATAAGAAAAATAGAATGAGGGAGAAAGGAGAAAAATACTTTAATCAGGGAATTTTCATACAAATGAATTAACAAATAACAGAACTGATGAAAAAGGGGATTAATGAAATGCCTTAAAAATACTCTTACAAAAGATAAAAAAAAAAAAAAGTTTGATAATAAACTAGTATTTTATAGAATGTAGTTTGACGATACATTTTTTTATCATAGCTTTCCATTTTTTAATCATTTTAATCAAAACGCAATAGTTAACGTGAACGCAATATTTAATGTTCTTATTATTTAAAAAATACTATTAGAACTAATTAAAAGTAATTGAGAGTGATTATTTAAAAACCGATTGGAATTTTAAAAAAATATTTTAAAAATTGATGCTTTTTTTCTAAGGAAAAGAAATGCATTTAAACAAACAGAAACTTAAATAGGGATTTAGACAAAATGTTAATTTTTTCAGTTTATTTTATTTTGGTGATATTAAGTAGTATTTATTCACTGAGAAAAAAAAAGTATTGTAAAAACTACCTAAATAATTAATATAGTAAAATTAATTGTGTTTTTCTGGCTCTCTGGAACCAGACCGGTAATTTCTACAGAAGCGCTTTGGTGATGATTTTGATGAAATTAACAATAAAACAAAGTTTTATAATATGTGGTAAAAATTAGTAAATGAGATAAAATTTAGTAATTTTATAATAATAGAGTAGGGCATAAAAACGATTATTCGCTTTAGTTTACTTTTCAGTTTCGTATTTTTTAACTAAATGTGTGGTAATAAGAAGTATAACTTTAAAACCCAGAAATTACAAAAATCCGTTACCGATTAACGGAAAATTTTTTCCTAATGAATGGCTTGAAATATAGTATGTTTCAATTTTTAATACTAGAATTATGATTTTTTTTTTTAGCAGATATGTCTTCACCATGTAATACAGTAATTTTACAGGAACTTGTTTACACTCTATATTCTCGCCAAAAAATCAAATTGTTATTTTGAATTAACTTAACTTCGGAATTTAGTTAACTTCATTATTTATTCAATAAAGCAAAAATTACCTACTCTAAAAGTTACGTTAATGAGTAAAATTAATATTATTTCAGCGTTTATTTAATTTAGTTAAATATTTTTATAATAATCGTTTAATTTTTGTTTTATTAAGCAGTATTATATGTTTTTAATCCTATCTTATAATACATTTTTGTGTAGACATTATTTTTAATAAAAAATTATTTTATTAAAGATTTATTTTTTTAAACATTTGAAATTTAATATTTACTTGAATTGGTTTCCGAATTCTTGGAGGAAGATTTTGCCAATCCGGTGTTGTGGCAGCTATGTCTTCATCTACTAATGTTTTTATGCTGGTGAAGATGGAGTTACCGAATTTTTCCAAATAATATTTGTGCTCTCTATAACTCGTATCCAAACCACCTTCTTTCCATTGTACGCTAAAAATTTTAAAAGTATTTCATTAAATTAGATACATCGTGCTAAATATTCACTTTCATGCTTTATTGACCTGAAATTACACTGAGAAGCATTTTAAATCAATGTTTTCCGTTGCATGAAATATTTTAACCAAATTTTTTATCTTGGATATTTTCAAGTCATTGATTCCAAAGCTGGAATCGGTTTCTCTCAGCAAGCTATAGTTTTTAAATATCATTTTCAGTATATTTTTTGTACTGTACAAGTTTAAAAACGTTATTTATGACATGGGATTGCGTAAATGTTATGAGAAATTTATAGGGGGGTTAGGAATTTCAGGATTAAATTAGAGTCACATTCTCGGAAGTGTCATACACCACTGGAGGCATTTCCCTCTTATGAATTATTTCTTCATGTACTTTTGAACATATACCCTCAGTTGCGTACGACGACATTTCCGGACATGGGTTCCCATACAATTATAATTCTGATGATGTGCCCTAACTTCCCTAGAAATTTACATTTACATCATCCCTTGTAATACATAACGTTTTTAAACTTGTACATTTCGACAAAAAGTAGGCTGAAATTTGGAAAAACAAAAACTGTAGTTTTAGGAGTAAAACTAATTTCAGATTTGAAATTACCACACTTGAATCAGGCAAGTTCAAGTTTTTTTGTTAATGCAACGAAATATTTGTTCCCTAGTGCTATTTAGACAATTTTGGACTGAAAATGTGGACGAATTTTTTTTAGGAAATCTTACTTGAAATAGTGAATATTTTTACGATTGACATAGAATATGACATCATCAATTAAATTCTGAACTCCCGAAGCAGATTCTTCATCAATTGTGAAGTTCTCATGTGAAGATACATCTACGTATTGAGAGATTGCGGAATCATTTGTTACCAGACCTAAATAGAAAAAGGAGTTATAAGGTTGGAAAAACTCTTCATATTATTAAGTAATAGTCACAGTAAGTAATTATTAAGTAATACACTATTGTCTTCTTCTTATTTAATACACTATTGTCTTCTTCTTATTTGTCTTCTTCTTATTTAATTGTCTTCTTCTTATTTTATTGTCTTCTTATTATTTTTCAGATGGAGTTAATAAAGACTATTGTTTTGTTTTTCTAACTCTTACTTTTTTATGCTATGATACTGATATTTTTATTTTTTACTATTAATTTATAATGCTTTTCGTTGCAATTTTTCTGTAATTATCATCACGTTTGGACACTATATAATATTTAATTTGCATTCAGAGAAAAATTAATTAATAATGCAATGTAAATAATTTAGTTTCCACTAAGTTTTCATAATTAATATTAACATTATAATAAAAAGTATGGTAGGGGAGAGTGGGGTCAATTGTAACAGGGTACGATTGTAACAGAGCAAAAATTTCGAGTGTCGGGTTCTTGATTTGTTTCCAAGATGGCGCACAAGGTGTATTTAATAAATCTACATGTACACCCCCGCTGGCAACCATTTTTATGTACTTTTGAAAGAGTTACATCACAAACGATATTTTCACGCTACGTAAGTTCTTTTTTTGGTATTAGAATATTATATTGTAACAAAGTAATTTTGTTTAAACAAATAAAAGTTATTAACCGAATATGTAAGTTGACACCTTAATTAACATTTAAAAAAAAAGATTAGTTTTGTTAATTAACTAGCATTGTTTTTAACAAATGAAGCTGAAATGGCGTCTTGGGGACAATTGTAACAATAAGTAAAGGGACGATTGTAACAGCTGAAAATAAATAATCTTATGTTTACAAACCATTACTTAACTCTTTAAGAACCACCAATAGTTTCCTATATCATTTATATTATGTTGCATGTGCATTATTTTATTTGTCACCTTTCACAGCATAAATTAAAATTTTTAACCCCTTAAAGTTAAAAGTTTAACCCTTTAGGTCTCTGCTCATTATTATTTTTACTCCTAAAATATCACTACTATTTTGATCAATAAAAAAATATATCACAACTATGATAATATGTATAATTAACTATGTTTTAGTTGAATTTATGAACTGTTACAATTGACCCCGTAAGTGGGGACAATTGTAACAAGTGCACGACTGTCAAAAATTGTTAATAACTAATATAATAACATTTAAAATAAGGTATATATTTTTTTTCTAGTAGAGGATAGTCTACTTTATTCGTCTGTCAATTAATACTAATTATATATTGGATTTTTTGTCAGTTAAAAATAATTAAGTAAAAAACTTTACAATTGGCCCTACTCTCCCCTATTGTATAATTTTCTCTTTTAACTAGAGTGTTTTTCAAGGGTACTGTTTTTTACAATTAATACAATACTTCCCATTTTATTAGATAATATGACTTTTCATTTAATCTTGATAATATTTATTTTAAATTCAACGAAAATATTATTAGAATGCAGTGTAAATAAGTTAATTTCCATGAATTTTTCGTAGTCAATCTAAGCATTCTAATAATAATTATAGTATTGCATAAATTTACCTTTTAACTACAGTGTTTTAAGACTATTACTCTTTGCAATATTTCCTATTTTCGAAGTTTATATCATCTTTTATGTAAGTTTTGATGATTTATTCTAGAAATGAACGAAAATAAATTACGCGTTTGAAGTTAATTTACTCTGAAACTATAACTATAAATCCACTTGATTTTTAAAGTAGTGAGTAGACCTGAATCCAAATAACATTAAACTTTCTAAGAAAAAGCTGATTATTACAGCACTCTGGAGAATCCGAACAGTGAAATATATCAAACTTACGATCTATGCACTTGTTATTTATTTCCTATTTCATAAAATATTCATCTAAATTATAGTACTTTAGGGGAGAATTGTGAAATGTTAAAGCTTTATTTTGAACATTATTTTACCTAACAGCTTCTGGATAAAATAATGCAACTTCCCATCAAAAACAGAAAATATTTTATAACGTCTTATAAATGTGTATGACGTGAAAGCGGTGAGTTACAATATATATTATATTGATTTTAGAATTTTTTTTAAAACGCTGGGTACTTACTAATTTAAAGTATTGTTTTATTTTCTTTTAAAATATTTAAGTAACCATAAGTAAACCTTTATCATCATCTCAAACAGAATACTCCTTTTACTTCACTAATAATATGTTATACAATGAAGAATTTCGGATCAAATTACGGTTAAAAGAACCGGCACTCAGTGTACCGGTACTTATGACGGTAATATCCATTTCTGCTGAACATGACACAAATTATGATATACCGTAATTTTTACAGAAATACATACTGTAAAATCATTGAATCATTCTAATAAAAAAATATTGCTTTAAAAGTTACGGTATAATATTTTACGGTAAATTGGATTTAACGGAAGATGTACTAAAATGACGGTACTTTACGCCATAATTTAATCCTGAATTTTTTATACTCTTTGTTTAAACCAGTTATTGAGAAACTTTCAATCAGCACTCACCAGAGAAACGAGTGAAAGCAGAAAAAACAAGAAAAATATTCAGATTATTAAAAAATTATTCAAAGAAAGGACTTTAATTTTACTGAAGTTTTACTTTCAAATTTGACCTTTAAATCTCAAATATCAAATTAGACACAAAAGAATAAAAACTTGCATGCATTTTTTCCGCTTAATGTTTTTATATTTTTTATTTCTAAAGTAATCTTATTTATTTCTAAAGTAATAAATCATATTTCATGAAGTGAAAATTAACTAAAAATTAAAATTTTTATATCTGAGATAAAACTGGTAAAATATTAACAGTTTTTTGAACGAAGGAAAGACCGTAGGATGTAAATGAATCAAAAATATCTGAAAGTACTATTCGTAAATCGAGAAAATAAGTTTTTCGCACAACGAATTTGTGGATGTAACCTTAAAGATTGATTACTTAAAGCAGTGTTTCCCAAAGTGTGGTGCGCGTACCCCTAGGGGTACGGGAACTGGTTAACGGTACCAGGGTGCGTAGCCAAATTATTCAACAAAAATTAAGCACCTTTTAAACACTTTTCAAGCACTCAAAAAACATTTTTAATAAAAAAAATATCATAATGAGGCAGGGTTGGAAAGTTTTTGACAATTGACGGTTTTATCTTATTTTAACCGTCATTGTTTTTGATAATTGTCAAAAATTATGAAATTTTGAATCGTGTAAAACGAATGGCGTTTTCATACGCTACGGACTGACAATAAGCCGAAATAGATTGGGTTTGAATTTATTGTGAAAACGTTGAGTAGAACAATATAAACTGTGTCTCTTTGCATAATTTGAAACGAAAATCGACATAGTAAGGGAAAAATCTCATTTTGAAAAAGCGAAAATTAAGCACCTTTTAAAAACGCTCAATGAAAAAAACACCTTTAAGGGCTTTTAAAAAACGAAAATGGAAAATAAGCACCTTTAAGCACTGTTTAAAAACGATACGCACCCTGGGGTACGCGTTCTTATGCGAAATATCTTGCGAAAAACGAAAATTTCAAACTTTTTTATTTAAAAACAAATCTAGCCATGAAAATTTACGATTATGTATTTTTCTATTGGCTATTTTTTGCAAAGTTAACAGTTATTAGTTAACAGTATTAGTGTTGTCAACAGACAGTTGTGATCTTTAACTTCTGTGCAATTTTTTTACAGTAAAAAATACATTCATTTTTTTATTAGTGGTACACAGCGTTACGAAAATTTAGAAAGGGTACACAAAAGTCATAAGTTTGGGAAACACTGGCTTAAAGTGATGCCAAATGGTGTTTTATGTATTTGGTTCAAACTTGCTGAATTAAATTTTTAATTAAAATTTAATTCAACAATTTAATTTTATTGCAACAATTATTAATCGTTTATGAAAACGTGGGAAAAAATGAATGACTATCGAATAAATTAAAAAAAAGCATACTAGGATGTAAGTAAGGTTTAATTTAGATGTGTGTTATTTATGGGTTAAAAAAATATCTCTTAAGCCTTTTAAATGAATAAATATATCGGAAAATTATTCTAATACGATAATAATTGATTCCAATTAGCTTTAATCGTCATTGGAAGCAAAAAAATATCTGTTAATAGAAGATTACGATTTGCTTTTTCAAAACGAAGTTCTCTTTCTTTTAAAAAAAATATTTAAACTGAATTAAGATAGTAAAGTACATACTCTTTTTATCGAATGTAAGTTTAGCAATAAAAGATGTAATAAAACACATTTATCTTTTTTCAAGTTATTTACGATAATTTAAAGATTAGTATAATCCATACGTTTAATGACAAGTTCAAGTGATGTTTATTGCTTTCCAGTACTCAAATCAATTTATTGGTGGTAGAAAATCGTTGAGTGGAAATTAAAATAAAGTGAGACTCATTTCAAATGAAGTGTAAATATTTCATCGTCTGGAAATCTGAGTTTGCTGAAGAATTTAATTTTAACACAGAAATCGACACCAGCGTAAATTTTAATTTCGATTTCTGTACAGAGGCATACTTAAACCTCCAATCGAAACTAAATTATAATCAGTCTCGAAATCATTTAAATTATAGGATGTTTAATTTTCTGAGAGGCAAGTTGAAAATTTACGCAATTAAATTATAGCTTAAGATGCCTTGCTGTATTTTATGAGCACTACTGGGAAATAGCGGATTTCGAAAGTGCGTTTAAATATTTGCTTTACATTTGCAGACAGTTACTCTCCAGTGATAGTGTTCTACAAATTTTATTGTACATTTGAACGTCAAAATTGGCCTTTAGGATAAAACTTTGATTTGCAAATCAGTAATTTTCTCGACATTTTTGTGTTAAAATATTGTTAATTGAATTTTGACTTCTCAAATAAATACTTAAAGGACACATTTAAATCTTTTACACGTTTTGCTTAAATTAGAATAATGATAAACATAAAATTTTGAATAGTTTACAAATTAGAAGAAAAATTATGTCATAAATTACCATCTATTTGCCTTATCACACAGATCATTCTTTGTTGAGCATTTGTAGACAGGCCTAGGGCAAAGTCTAGCTGGTTGTATACACCTAGAACAAAATGAGTAGTTTCTATTGTTACAGTCATTTCATTGTACATAAGGGTTTCTCAAAATTGAGCAAAATTGCATCAAATTATCTCAGAAACAAATAATAGTTGAATTTGAAAGCTCATTATATTCAAAGTTAAAACAATAAGTACTCATTTTTTATCAAAATGCATAGCCTTAAAAGTAATGTGGAGGAAGAGATTTGAGATGTTAATCGGCTGCCGACCGGATTCGAATCAAAGAGCTCCGGAATGATGATAGGATGGTTTAACCACCATAGTTATGTATCCCAGATGGTTAGGAAGCTTTATACAGTGATCACCGCAATGACATACTAATATCCAATATCAGTGGTTCTATGGGTTATAATTTCGAAGCATGTTCACAATAGCTTAGTTAAAAGTCTAGCAATTTTAATTTCCTTTTCTGCTTATTTTGGTACATATTGAAAACCTTTAACCAAACTGAATATATGTCTCGTAGCATTGCGGCAAACGCGTCTGTCTAGATACTGACAAAACGTGTGCCAGTGGAGGAGTTGGGCAGTGTAGTATTATGGATTACTATGTCCACTAACAACATTCTACCACTTTAAACAACCAAAGCTAGAATTCCTCATACCTTCTAAGAGATCTATCTATAAGAATCTTAAGTTGAAACAGAAGATGACCAACCTGATTGTTTTTCTGGAAGGATACGAGAAAATCCTGAAGTAATTTTCAAAAAAAATGACAAAATTATGCAATGGTAAGCCCCAATCATTTCTAAACTCGACCAATAAACCCTGGATACTTCATAATCAAAATGCCCTAACTAATAGAAAAATCATTTTATTTTTTCAGTTTTTGCGCTTTATTTTTGAAATTTTGTATTTTTTTTTTTTTTTTTTTTTTTTTTTTTTTTTTTTTTTTTTTTTTTTTTTTTTTTNTTTTGGTTTTTTTTTTTTTTTTTTTTGGTTTCGTTTTTTGTTGCTATTTGCTATTTTTTCTCTTTTCTTTATCTGTCTCCTATCTTTCAACCTTAACCGTTAACCGATAAATGTCGCTGTAGGGACATGGGCACGAAGTTTAATATTGGTGTGTGTGTAACGTTGCTGAGGTCTCTATATAAAGCTTGTTTATTGGGTGTACAACTATAGTGCATAGAGCATCCTACTACGATTCCACTGGGCCTTTGTTTGAATCTTGCCTGGAACCTGTATACCGTCGAATCTTACCGGTACTGTTTCAATTCTTAATAAGTTAGGCTTTTAGATTCAACTATATTGCCATTTTTTGCCCAATTTCGAGAAATCCTTTTATTTAGTGAAGTGTTTGATTAAAGCTTAGGAAATTAAATATAAGATATTACTAGTTTTAGTAGGGGTTTATTTAGCGTGTCTTATTCGGATCATAACATTTGGGCATAATTATTTATTTAAATACATGCAGTCAAAAAGAAGACATTTTTCCAAACAAAATAGAGATAACTTTGTGCAGGTAGTAAAATAATGTACAAGTAATGTATTAAGTTCAATCGAAAAACGTAATAAATCAAACGGTTGTTTAGGCAATAATAATTATCTAAGAGCCAAGTACGAAGTTACTGCAATTTGAAATAATAAAAATCGAAAAACTTATCCAAACAAAGTAGAGTTAGCTTAGTTCTGGTTGCAAAATAACGTAGAAATAAAACGTATAATGTATAATTATACAAGTTCATAAAACAGACGGCCAATTAGATACAATAAAGTGTTTAAAAGCACAAATATCGTGGTACTTCAGTCCTTGCAAATCACAATGAAGAGATGTGTCCGCACAAAGTAGTATTAGTGAAGCAAAATAACGTAGAAACAAAGCGTGTTTTCTACAATTAAACTAGTCCAAATAAAACGGTGATTTAGATACTATTAAGTAAATATAGAGCAATCACTATGACACTTTAATTCAAAAAAATAAGAATGAAGAAATTTATCCGAATAATGTAAAGATAGCTTCATGCTGGGTAGTAAATTAAAGTAAGAACAATGCATTAAGTACAAACAAATATGTTTAAAAAACAACTAGCAGCATAACAACTCGTGCAAACTAGACTGAGGGGATTTTCCCGAACGATGTAGAATTAGTAGAATATATTAACTTAGAAATAAAACGTTTTAAGTACAATAAGGAAGTTCATAATACAAACGGTGGATTAGGTACAATAAAATAGTTAAACAACAATTATCATGTCAAAAGTAGATATAGTACTTCAGTTGAGCCAAAAAGAAAAGAGATTTGTTCCAACAAAGATAATTATAAGCGTAAAGTAACGTTGAAAAACAATTTACAGTACAATTGATTACAATTGAACGAGTAAAAAAAAAACACAATTATAATAACCAATTTAGGTATTATAAAGTAACTAAGGGTAATTACAATGACAATTCGATTCAAGAAAATAAGAATGAAGAAATTTATCTAAGGGATCTAGTGGTAGCTTTGTGCTGGCAGTAAAATATAAGGTTAAAAAAATGCACTAAATACAAACATGTTTAGAAAATAAACTTGTAGTTTTAATGTTAGGACGTAGCATATAGAAAAATAGAGAGGACCGATTTAGTCAATATAAACAGTTGACGGGAAAAAATTATCAATAGGGAAAAACCTCTGCTTTGAAAATATGTAATTTACTGAAATAAATTAAGAGTATTTTTAATCACGGTGATGTTTAAAAAATTAAAATACATTTAATATCACTATATATATATATATTTCAAAACTAACCAGAGTTTATAGTTTGGGAATTGTATTTGGGAATAGTATTGAATTCGCTAATTAATCACAGCTCATATACCTGACATAAAGTATTTTCTTTGATGAGCTTCTTTGTTTTGATTCATGAGGCCTTCTTGATAAGCTTGGCGAGCACCGTACTGCAGAATTTTAAATACTTGTTCCTCTTCTTCAACTAATTCTTGAGCCTGAATTTCAAATTCTGCTCTTATTGTTTCAGAAGATCTCCTTTCATCCGGTATAATTGTGAGCAAACTTTTTTGTCCTGTATTCATTTCCTTCCTAAGACATTCATAAAAGAAACACATATTTCAGCTTAAACAACAGCAAAGAACATGCCAAGTTAAACTGCTTGGGCTTCAAGCATCATTTTCAAGAATTAATTTCTGTATTTCGTGAAATTCTTGGAGGATCCGCCCCCTTTTTGCACCGTTCACCAACCCACGAAATTACTTGTCGTTATTTATTGTTTATTTCTCCTTAAACATGATTATTTATCACAAAAACAATGAACATTTTAGATTTAGAAACGATACAATTATTGCAGCTTTATATTATAAGCAGGAGCTAAGCCTGTTCACTTTCCTGTTCGATGCAGCTCACCAACCCCGATGATTGCCTCTCTGTAATTGTTGTTTGATGTTGTGGCTTTTATTTAAACGAAAATTGAGATTATTTACTTAAAATATTTCTAATAAAAAGAATTCTATATAGTTGAGCATGAGTACCCCCTTTTCCCCCATTCGAATATTTCCCATATTAATTTTCCCATTTTCCAATTAAAATCTAATAGTGAACATTAATTTTTTTAAGTAATTATTCTTCAAAATAAAGTTTAAAATTTTAAAGAAATTTATTATTATAATGAATTTGGTGAATTTACAACCGTTATTAAATATTTTCTCTTTCCAAACAGGCTGTTATAATAAATGCAATTTTTGCATACATCCCTTAGTGCATGAAGATGATCGTTAAATTCTAAATCATTTAACGAATCTCTTTAACTGTAATTCATAATAATATATTAATGTATTTTCATAAAAATGAATAGTTGTAAGACGGTTAATAATAATTAGACACCGATTTAAATAACTTTATCTTTAAAAGTGACGTAGAAATAAGTTATAATAAAAGAAACAATTCTATTAATTTTAAACTTTTCAGAAAACAATCAAAATTAAAAGCGTAATAATAGCAGTACAGACAAAGGCCTTAAATTAAATAAAATTTTTATTGGAAAACAGTACCTTTACGCCTTTTAATAATTTCATGCTGCAACTAAAAAAAAATATGAAAATCAGTGTGATTTTTTCGGCCAATAAAAATGACTGTAGTGGAAAACTGTGCTAGACTATTATTTTTTAGGTTAAAAAAGACATAGCCTAAAAAAAATTAATTTTTGTTATTAATAGCTTAAACAGGAAGAGTTTTTTCTTAGAATGTATCAAAAAGAGTCATTTTTTAAACACTTTTTTCAACAATCAGTATAATACAGTTTAATTAACTTTATTAAGTAAATGGGATTAAAAGATTTATTGTAATTGTGAACAAAACTTGAATTCAATTTGAGAAACTTTTTTGCAATTTGTATATTTTTAAACACACGTTTTGTTGATAATTGTTTTGGAAAGTTATTTTTAAGCACACTTCATTAAATACTTAAAATTTTCAGATAGGTAAAATCCAAGTATTTATTTTGAAATAGATCGTTTCTTTCACCGTTGAACTTTAGTTTGAAGCTATAAGACATTTTTATGTCTACAAATCGAGAAAATGTTAACTACAGAAAAATATTGTTGAAATTCTTTTTCCAACATTTGAACAATTGAGCAGAAACTTCAAAGAAATCACAAAACCAAAAGTTTTTAAGATCCAATTATTTTTCTTAAAGAAGTTCCAAAAATGTATTGAGGAAGCTAAAAAAGATGAAAAAAAAGCGTCCGATAAAAAAAATATTTCTTTTTATGAAGTGTTTACAAGATTAGAAATAGAAATAGCAAACAACAATTTTCATTTGTACGATTTCTCTTAATGCTGAAATGTAGCAAGCAAAAGAAATCGTGTTCTTTTCATTTATTTGTTTATTTTTGAAATAATAATCTAGTTAAAAATATGGCTTAAAAATAAAATGTAGATTCAATTCTTTCAGTTATTTTACAGGTTATAATACTTTTTCAGCATTCATTTTGAATGCGTTCTTACAGTATTTAAAAAGCAAAATACATATTCTCAATTTGATATCCGAAGTAAAATAATTTAAATTAATGATTGAGTTTTGAAATCTTGCCTCATCAATATGCTTTTTAATTGCAACCCGTTACAGATTATAATGCAGAGAAATTTGACTTTGTTCTCCTAAAACTGACCAACTATTACGAAACCTTTAAAATCCTGTATGAAAAACCATACTATCTAAATAACCAATTTATCAGTTAAGCAAATCGATGGTTACGCTTTTTTATATTAAATATGTTAAGACAATCATGGATAGAAAAATTTCCAAATAAAATAAAAATAATTGTTTTATCTGTAATGAAAGAATAATTCACTTCTTAAAAATATTTTGCGAAGCATTTTGATATAGAACTGTGTTTGAAAAGAAAACTGCTGAAACTGCCTTAACAGTTATATATTTTATGCATTCAAAATCATAATTTAGAAGTTTGAATTGTAGTAAGCTTTAAATAAGTATTTAAAATCAAGAAACAATCGCACTACTATTATTGCAAGGTTTTTATTTAACTCGGCATGGTGTAAATTTATGAAGAACTAAATTCAGTGTCGAAATTTCTACTATTGTGAGACTAGAGAATGTTTCGAATTCAACTGGTTTTAATCGTTTTCTAATCGATACAAACAGAATTTGTAGCAAATTCAAATTTCGATTGTTTCCAGAACAGTAAAGTGCTTGGATTTCAACTAGAGCAATTTTACCGGAGGACAAAGTGTATTCCAATTGTTTCATGACCACTAACAGTAAAATTTATCACCATCCTACATCCATATTAAATTTATTCAAAAAAAAGTTCTTACATCTATCTTATTAATAATAATGAAAAAAAATTAAATGTTCCGTATGTCACTACCAAAATATATTTATCGCCACTATTTTGCTATTTTACTACCGATTATTTTTTTTACCGACTATTTATGATGATGAAAATTTAGTTGAAGTTGTGTTTCAAATGACAATACAAAACTACATTTATCACCGCAAAAGTGTTCACCATATTTCGACTCGTTATAATGATCATGTTTTATTCGAAATTGAGTTTCGAATGACTATACAAATTTAAAGTTATCATAAAAAAATTACCACTTTCCGACGAGCTATCATAAAACAATTTTAAAGTAAGCTGTGATTCGCATGGTGATACTTAATTAAATTTATTACCAGAAGAGTTTTTGCAATTTTTGGGCAAAGTTGTGATGATTAAAATTTAATTGAAGTTGTAGTTCAAATGACATCAAAAACTAAATTTATCTCCATAAAAAAGTTTTTACTACTTTCCGATTAGCTACAATGATCAAAATTTAATTGAGGCTGTGTTCCAGGCGACTATATAATCTTTTTTTGAGTGCTACAGCTACGTTTTCTGACCAGTACTGATTTGTTGACAAATATATTTAATTACTTATTTCGAACTATGTTCTAGAACAAACAGCTCTAAAACTGAACCAAAAATGGAAATGGATGATACTTACCTAAATGAACACTTCAGTTTTTGATTTAAATATTTGACTACGTATGTTGGAGGCACCATATTTGAGTTAAGAGTATACCATTGTTTTAAGAGACTGACGTTTAATCCTGCTTCGTGAGCTTTGTCATAAATAGGAATAAACCATACCGTATTTTTGACCACTACTGATTTGTTGAAAAATATACTTAAACACGTATTTCGAACTATGTTCTGGAACAAACAGCTCTAAAACTAAACCAAAAATGGAAATGGATGATACTTACCTAAATGAACACTTCAGTTTTTGATTTAAAGATTTGACTACGTATGTTGGAGGCACCATATTTGAGTTTAGAGTATACCATTGATTTAAAAGACTGACGTCTAATCCTGCTTCATGAGCTTTGTCATAAATAGGATTAAATTCTGTTGCTTCTATACATCTTGGAAGTGGACATGGTTTGTACTTGTTTCCAATCAGACACTGTCAATTTTCAAAATATAACATTTATAAGTATAAATAAGTAGGCATTACTATATAAGTATTATATACTATATAATATAATATTATATACTATATATATATATATACTATATAACTATTGTTCTATAGCCTGATATACTTTTTATAAGTATTAAGAAAACTATAAATTTTAACAGAGAAACTAATTTGCAGTGTCAAAATAATGAATTAAGAAAGGTAATTAAATGTTTGATAAAAACACTATGTAAATAAAGGTAAAGTCCATCGTAATACATATGAGGGAAATATTTAAAATATTGTGTATTAGTTTATAGATTTGTTTACAGAATGTTACATCTTACACAATCTGAATTTATTGACATTGTATGAGCCAAAAACATAGTACAAATTTTATGAACTCGAAAATTGTATCTGAGAATGACCCACAAAAAAGTCCGGATAAAATTACGGTAAAAAAGTGCTGATATCTTATTGGATCTCATTTTCCGTAGCCTATTTTACCGTAAAATCCTTTTTTGTTAAAATTTTTATACCTTAATTTTTACAGTAATATTTATTTAATTAAGTGATTCAGGGATTTTTCGCTTAATATTACAGTATAAAAATTATGGTACATCAAATTTTTTGTTCCGTATAATTTTACGGAAAGCAAATACCGGCACTCTAAATAGGGGTACTTTTTACTGTAATTTATCCGGAGATTTTTGCTGTTTAAAGACAACGTAAAATATTGGCAGTATGCACAAACTGAGAAAAAAGGATTTTCAAAACTACCAAAATAAGGTAAAATTTACGACCTTTCTTGGTCATCAAAACGCTCGGAAATCTTTACCGAAGGCTTTTCTTATGATTTTGGTAAAATTAACGCGAAAATATTGTTTTATAATATGTGATAAAATTTGGTTAATTTTATTATGATTCCGTAGGGCGTGACGTTAAGCCCATTTGTTATATTAAATTTACTTTAAAGTTTTGCATTTCTTACCAAGAAATAAAAACTATAATTTTGAAACCCAGATTTTCCGGTTAGCCGTTACCATATGTATAGAAAAAGCACATAAAAATTTATTATAAAATAATTATTATGAAAAATATTATAATGTTCTATCTGTATTTTCTACTTGACAATGACTTATAAGCCTATATTGAGCACACAAGTCAGCAAATGTATGTAATTTCAATAAACCAATAAAATAATTTTTATAAAATTATATAATGAATGGTTTAAATATGGTACATTTTAGCCTTATAAGACAGGTTCAGGATTTCTTTACCAGGACTAACATTACCATACGTTTTTTAATTTCCAAAGATGTTTTTTTTCTGTGCGCATGTTACATTTATGTTACAACGATTTTACACCATTAAAATTTCTTTCCTATCTGAAATTCTGAGACATATTTAATATTTTAAGTCTATGTTCTGTTATACATGCATTGGTTTCTGGTTACTTAGTCATTCATTGGGACATATCATTTAGAGAAGAGTTTGGTTTGGTAAGAAACCAATTAATATTCATTCTATGAGTAACATTTTGGAATGATTCAAGTGCAATAAAATCACAAAGATTTTTTTTTATAATCTTGCTTTTGTCCTGTTATTTCATAAATCAACTTGCTATCTATTAAACTGAAGTCGCCCCAATTCACATAATGTCATCTCTTTTCCGTGATTGTAAGTTAGTCATTTTCATTCTTTATAAACGAAAATATGAGGTTTATATGGATGTTGCATGGAAATATTTGCACGTTTTTGATGCTAAAAACTTGTTTCTTGTATTTTCGAAATATTTTCGCCTACTTCAAATCCACCAAATTTGAAAATTAATTAAGAATTTTTAAGATTCATACTATATGTGACTTTCTGAGCTACCTCAATATGTTTTGAATGAATTTTTAAAAAATCTCAATTGATTTTTTGATAAAAGCTCAATTTCAATGAAATTTGTGGTTTACCATTCATCAACAGATTATGTTAGATAACATTTTATAAAAACACTTTAAAATAGACGTTAACATTAAAAAGGTGGTTTTCAAAATTTGATCACTAGATTTCTAATTCGACCAGTCTCAATTTCTTGAATCTCTATTAAAATATTTATATTCTTTGAATTACAGTATCATACAGTTGTAAATTTCAAAACTCAAATATAAAATTTATGAACTATATAATTTTTATATTATTTTTTTTCGTATTATTTTCTGTATAAAATACATATTATAAAGAAATTATTCATATTATTAATCAGTGTTTCATATTGTATTATGTAAGTTGTTTGAATGATATCTTACAATGAAAAAGGAACTAAAAAGTCATCATAATCAGTCATTTATTTCCATTAGTATTAAAAAGGTTATAGGCCTATTAGTATAAATTATAAAGGTTGGTCTGGGAAAAACTTCGCGTGAAGGTCAAGGTCCTCCCTGGGCTGTCGAGCCATTGATGATGTTCATTATAAATTATTTTTTGATTTTTATTTAAATCTTTAGAAAGCAGAATTATTTGTTTGGTTTAATAATGTGTTTTTAATGATGATGAATTCTGCAAATATACACAAAATCGTCTTATATATCAAATTTCTTTATAGACTAAAAATTACGGTTTTAGAAAAAGGATTTTGAGATTAAATCAAAACGCATGTAAAATTATACTTACAAGTAAAAAGCAGCCTAAAGATTCTCTGTAACTGTTTTCAATTTCTTTTAATTGTAATTCAAATGTATAAGGATCGTAGGTAGAGTCTAAATCATTTCCTTGTTGGACATCCAAAATTTCAAAATCTACAGCAGATGCGGCACAATGTCTTTGCAGTTCAGGCCAAACATTTTCATGTAGATACCGCCTTTCCATTTCAAAATCTATAAAATGTAACACTTATTATGCACAAATTTTAATGCAATAATTAAATATTTCGAAATACATATCATAAATGACAAATAATATATGAGAAATTAAAATTTTAAATGCTCCAACACGCTTTGTAAATGACTAGGTTTGCACTAAAATTTGCAAAAAAAAATATTATTGATTTATTACTTATTAATAATAAATAACCCTGGATAATTTATAATTCATAAATTATCAGCCAATCCCATACCACCTTTCCATTTCAAAATCTATAAAATGTAACACTTATAATGCATAAATTTTAATGCAATAACTAAATATTACGAAATACATAGCATAAATGACAAATAATATATGAAAAATAAATTTATTACATAGTCCAACACGCTTTGTAGAGGACTATGCATGCACTAAAATTTGCAAAATAAATTATTATTTATTTATTGATTTATTACTTATCAATAACAAATAATCCTGGATAATTTATAATTCATAAATTATCAGCCAATAATTATAAATTATAGGTTTCTTCATTAATCCTTAAAGTAAGCTGAAACAACTAATTGTGCACTGCGTTTAGTAAACATATGCTGCAATTTGAAGTGAAATATAATTAATCTAACTTTTCGGGAAAGAAACTTTGTTTTAAAACGTAAATTGTATGCGTGTCTCTTAATTGTTTGGAGAGAAGATAATAAAAACCAGAGAGGATTTAAAAAAAATATGATGTTTTAAGGAGAACAGTTGCAAATAAAATTTTATTTTTTGTAAGAAATAATCCTAGAATCAAAAATAATTTGAAGAAACGCAATTATAATAAACGCATACAAGGAATATCAAATGTAGGGGAAAAAACTTATTCTATTCAGAAAAAAAAACTAAATTTCAGAAAGCGTTAAACTTATTTTGTTTTTAATTTAGGAGAGCTACTTCTTGAATAAATGAAAATCATCTGAAATTATTAAAACAAAACTATACCTATTTATTTAAATAAAAAGTATATGAGTAAGATCTCTATGATATTAAGAAGGAATTTGCTGAAACAACCTTTCTAAACAGCTGAAAACCGCTTTTTGTATTGAACATTTTTAATCTTGTTATAAATTATGTTGCAATAAAGCATTAAGGAAGGCGAATTTATCTCAAAACGTAAATTATTCGCCTGTCTTTTGGTGTTAAAAATGAATTCATTAAATTTTTAATACGTGCCTTCTCAAACACGCTAATCCGGACAGGAAGTGAAGAACGTGGAAATGATGACATGAATAGGAACTGTAAGAAAATATTGCAGATAAATTAAAGATAAGTTCCTGCCTTAAATAAAATCCAGAATGGATAAGGAATAGATAAAAAAGTATATACCAAGAATAAAATGCGGTAAAAAGTTATTTAAAAAATAAAACAAATTTAAGAACTCACTTATTTTTTTATAATTAAAATTGATGCTCCTTAAACAAAAATATCCATAAAAAAATATAATACTAATTAAATCTATTTAATTTACTAAATAACACATACAAGTTATTAACCTGCAACTTGATGAAACAATCTCGTTTAGAAACAGCTTTAAACTACATAGTATCCCCAATTTTTAGTAGTTAATTTGTATTACATACTTTCACAAGTTTATTCTGGCTTAGATAGCTTCCAAATATTCCATGATAATTAAGTAAATTACTTCAAGAATAACGATTGTCTATTCCACACGGAATAATTCTCATTATTTAAATGTCATACAAAGACATTATGTGGTTTGAGAGACAGGCAATTTCACTAAGTAAATCAGCTTATTTGTTATGTATGAAAGATATTTTTCCTCACTTTGTTGAGATTTAAAAGAAATTGTGTTTTTGTGTTTTAATTTGATATTCTTGTTTGTATTAAAATGTGTGTGACAAAATCTAGTCATATTCTTTCTCGACAAATGTAATTTTTTTATCATTACTAAGCAACAGTTTTATTAATGAAAATTTCAAAGAATATTTTGAATAGGATTTGAAATCGTTTTGCTGCTTTAATCCATATCACTGTATCAGTTAATAGCTATATATATATATATATATATTAATATTTGTTCTTTTTATTTTCTTTCTGAAAACAGATAACTACTGTTGTTGTTGTTTCTAATTCCACTTCTAATGCAAAACTCGCCAATCATTGACCTTATATGAATTACTCAGGAAAGCGTGCCTTTCTTTTGACATGAGTGCACAGCAAGGTTGAAAGTGCGTCTTAGCTCAAAACCTTATAAATAGATCGTAACATCCCTCATTCGTGAGGCACTTCCTCAATTTAGACATGAATCTGAAGGGCAAGGTAATTTCTCCTGATTCCTGTATCCATGGTATTACTCAGTGACTGACCAAAAGACTTTCTCTTCCTCAGATTTTTCTGAGCACGCATTTCGAATGAAGGTGTAGCTCTTAACGGAGTTGAGAATCGAAACCCGGTACCTCTTTACTGGAGTCTGATTCTCTAACCTCTGGGATACCCGGCTTAAGGAGCTACTTCCTCAATTTAGGCAGGAATCTGAAGGGGAAGGAAATTTTCTCCTGATTCCTGTATCCATGGTACAGCTCAGCGATTGATCAAAAGTCTTTCGCTTCGACAAATTTTACTGAGCATGCATGTCGGATGTATGTGTAGTTCTTCACGGAGTTGAGAATCGAACCCGGTACCTCCGGACTGGAACCTCTGGGCTACCCGGCCGAAAGAACTACTAAATTTTTTATTTCAGTCTATCTCTCTAAAATCTGCAAAAATTATGTTACATATTGAAACTTTTACATCCTTATTTTTCTTTAATAATAATAAAATTAATATATTTTTATTTAAATAAAGACTTTTCACACTAATTAAGGAAAAAAATTCTGTGTAATCAAAACCAAGAGTTTCTCTCCTCTGTTCGCTTCTCTCATTAAAACCTCAATCGCTTCACTGATATCTTTAAGTTACAAAATTATTGCTTCGTACCCAAAAATTTATTCCCATTATTTTAATATCTAAAGTGATATTTCTATTTTAAAAACAAATCTATGAATCAAATCTTAATATTTATGACATTTGAATGACATTTAGACAATTTTAAAGTTCAATGCATCGAAAGATGTATTTTCACATATTCCAATATTTCATAATTGTAACAAATGCTATCATTGATTTTTCATTTAATGCTCCGTACCAAATATCAATCTTAAAATGCACATTTTTATCCACCGATCCTGCAAGCAATTTTATTGCATTATGTATATTGTTTGTAAATCTGGTTTTTTTCAAGGACTTGAAACATGTCATTTGTTATTTCTAGTTTGTATATTTTTGAAGCGATTGAAGTTTTTAATCTAGTAATATCTTACTACTTTAGTTTCTCAGAATTATTTATTTAAGAGAAAGAAAGAGAGTCATTCTTGATAAGTGTATTCGATAATATATTGATAAAGAAGGAAAAAGTTTGTCGATAAATTTCCTTCAAATGGAATCATATGGAATGTTGTATTACGCCATACGTGTTTTTATGAATGGGGATCAATTACTCTATGAATGATGATTCTCTTGTTAACGACATTAGTTCCCCACCACCTATCCATAGCACATGAAAATGTATCTTACTAGCTCCTCTCGGTTACGGTGGTTTTTCTTGTTTTGATTTTTTTTCTCGTCTACTGTGGTTTTTTTTAAGTTTTGTTTCGAACCTTTATTTTCCCCTTTTCTGTTGATAAATTCATCGTTTTATGTTTCAAATCAATTTTGTTTCTTCTCATTCATGTCTGGCAGGCTTTTACCATGAGCGTCTGCTTTTTGAGCTCTTGAAAAATGACTGTTATTTCCAATTTGTATATTTTTGAAACGAATAAAGTTTTTTTTTTAAATCTAGTAATATCTCACTACTGCCCATTGTGGTGTTTGGGGCAATTACTTGCCAAGAAAGGTGCCAATATGCTACTACAACCAAATACGGCAACTTCCTTTTGGGAAACCAAATACGGCAACTTCCTTTTGGGAAACCAAACTGCTCCTTAAAAATTTATGTAAAACCAACTCATTGCAAGACCTTCAGACTCGCAGAGCTTTCAAAAGTTGTAGAAATGTAAGTTCTTCTTTAATTCCCGTCAAACCAAGACGTGATGCAGTTGCGGCCTTCCGCTTATATACAGGCCACGGTTATCTTTCTGCTCACTTATACCGCATAGGCCTTTCCACAACGCTTTTTTGTCCACTTTGTAAATCTGGAGAGAAATTGGGCAGGGACCACCTGCTTCTATGTGGGACCTTTCATGGACACACTGAGTCCTCAAGATATTGGGAAGCAAGAGAACTTTTAAGGCAATGACTTCGGTCTTCTTTCTTTGTTATCCTACGAACATTAGCATTCGTTATTCATTTCATCTTTCTATTTGCACCTTTTACCTTGCCATTGGAAATAAAAATATAAAAATATCTCGCTACTTAAGTTTCTTGGGATTATTTATTAACCAAGAGAGAGAGAGAGTAATTTTTTACAAGTGTGTGATATAATATATTAATATATAATATGATAAACAAAGAAGAAATGTGTTGATAAATTTCCTTCAATATAATTCATATGGAATACTGTATTAAGCCATGAGTGTGTTTATGAATGAGGGTCAATTACTTTACTGTGGTATCTAAACATAGAATCAACACGGTTGTGACCAACCTGATTTTGACGAGATGACCAGGATTTTGACTACTCTAGATGGTTGTTTAGGAACACTGATTAGGTGTCCATGCAGAACAGAATCCAAAATACTGTCCTGCGAATCTGCCATGGTCCGGATAATTACTTGGCTATTTTTCATTCGTTTATATGCTTTTGATATTTCGGTACCCAATCTTATTATTATCTTTTGCCATTTTTATGACAACAGCACGTTTCAGATTTCAAATCACTTCTGTTTCGTTTTATTTATGTCTGGCAATTCATGGCAGTGAGTGCCTGTTTTTGAGAGCTTGAAACATGTAGTCTGCTGTTTCTAATTTCGATATTTTTGAAGGGAATTAAGTTCTTAGTCTAGTAATATCTGACCACTTTAGTTGCTCGTAACTATTTAAGAGAGAGAGAGGGTAATTTTTAATTTGTGTATGAGATATTATATTAATAAACAACGAAAAATTTGTTTATCAATTTCATTCAATAGGAACCAATTGGAATGATACATTACGCCGTGCGTGTTCTTATGAATGAGCGTCAATCGCTTTAATGCGATATCTAAACATAGTATCATCATGATTGTAACTTACCTGATTTTGAGGAGATGACCATAATTTTGACCACTCTAGATGGTGGTTCAGGTACACTCGTCACGTTCCCATGCAGAACAGAATCCAAAATACTGTCCTGCGAATCAGCCATGGTTCAGATAATTACTTGGCTATTTTTTATCAGTTTATATGCTTGTGATATTTCTGTGCCAAATCATTTCTAAGGAAACAAAATTAAAATGCTAATAATACTGAAAAAACATGTAAATAAATCTGTTTGCATTTTCAACATTTAATACAAGAGAAAATAATTTTACATATTTTCTCTAATAGATTCCACGTCATTAAATTCTTACTTTAAGCATTTAAAAAATAGGAAAAAAAAACTTAAGTACTATTTCAAGTTTCTAAAATTTAGGGAAAAAAAGTGATAAGTTTATAAAAACGAGAGATAAAAATATTCCATAGTATAATTAAACTCGCATTAATAAAAAAAACTCGTAATGAACAAAAATAAATTGTCAATTTCAAAGCAAGTATCAACTTAAATACTTTCATTGATTAAATTAGTACTTTACTTAATAAACAGCATACACTGACAACAACTTGAAATTTATAATTTTTTTGTGTATTTTTTAAAAAGAAATAAATAAAAGTATTAAAGTCGATTATTAGAAAACGATTACAGAATTATCGGATAAAAAAATTCTGTGGTGTTATATCGGCTTTTTACTTTGATTATTCATGCGCTTCATTTCTTTTTGTATCGCTAGTTTTTTAATTAACTATTATTTTACAATGAATGTTCTAAATGGTTGAAAATGTAATTAGCAAATTATTAAATGACTTATGAAGTTAATTATTATTCAATGAATGAAATTTCACTTATTTACCAAATGGAAAACGATACTCATATGAGTCATATCTTTCAGGCAATTATTATAGTTTTTTCCTTTTCTTTTTGTCGAAATCATTGGTACTCCGGTAGTGATGATTGCTGAGGAAAGTGACAATAATATCTGTCTTTACCATTGTCAGTAACAGCACTGATAGAAAACAAAGTAGAAACCCCAAAATCAATGACTGAAACTTCAAAATTAAAAATGGGAAACTTGAAGAAACCAAGGTAAGTACAATGTACAGAAAAAATCTCCGAAACACACTGTGAAAAATTCCGGATCAGAGTAAAGAGTACCGGCACTCAAGTTGCCGGTACTTTTCACAATAAAATTCATTTTTACTGGAGCATGTTACGGAACAAAAAATCTGTTAAGCCGTAATTTTTGCAGTAATAATTACCGCAAATCCACTGAATCCCTTGAATTAAATAACTATTACTGTAAAAATTACTGTATATTATTTCATGGAAAATGAATTCCATGGATGATACACCCAAAGTGCCGGTAATTTGGTACCATTATGCGGACTAGAATTTTTTAAAGTGCCTGTTGTCACATTAAAGCACCGACAAAGAATTGACCATTGGGTTTCAAATCCGAAGTATAAAGGGAATAAATCAATTGATAAACTGCATTGTTGAGTATGCCCTTTGGATCTTAATTAAGTGATTTTTCGTGAGGGTAGCGTTGACAAGATTGAAAAAGAGAAAAACAGTCCTTATAAAATTACGCAAAGTAATAACATTTACATTTTCTGTATGGTAATGAAAAAAAATTAATGCCAGATTTCTGTATTAAGAATGACAGCTTAACTGTTGTCCTGCTCTATGCATCTCATTATATGGATGTTACAGTCCTGTCTGTTTGTGATGGTGTCTTCTGAGCCGCAATCAGAAGAAAAAGATCCCTGGACTTGTATACTATTCTCAGAAAAAAGTAGGTTCAGTCTCTCGCCTGATTGTCGACAAAAACTTATCTGGATTGCAAGTGATAATGTATATCGTACAGCAAAGCCGTGTGATTATACGGACTAGAATCATAAATAATAGTAGTATATTGAGCCAGGCTGGCTCAGGGGATAGGACATTCCCCTTTCAATTAGGTGAACAAAGAGAAGGTTTGAATCCTAGAAGTTTTTAGTAAATACGAATTCTACTCTTGGCTAGCACCGACCTCAGTGCTAGACAAAACATGGGCTAAAATCCCCATGAATCAACATGCGTTAAACATGCGCTAAAACCACCCTAACCTTGAGTGGTTTTCGTGATTTTCTTCTATAGAATAAGCTAATGAGTTTAGTTCCATCAAAACTGTGCTAAAAAAGTTAGTTCTTTCCTGTTTTATTCAGGAATTACCTTGTCTCAGAACTGGAACTATGACTGAGTATATAACGATGCATCAATAATGTTTTACGTTCGTATTCTCTATTGGTGCTACTACTTGTACCGATGACAAAGCAATATTCCGATGAGCAGTCATTAGTCAGTGAGAATATTTAGCGTTTTCCACAGTTAGCATATAGCCCAGACCTGAAATCCGTCGCAAATGTTTTGAATGCTTTGAGGAAGAGTTTTACCAATCGACACATACAATGCCCGCAAATAAGCAAGGATGCATTCATATAGAGGATTTGGATAATTTAATGCTTTATTATTAAAAAATCTGCTATAAAATATAGTAACATGCAATTTTAACATTTTTAAAGTACAGATGAAACAAACAAAAAATGAAATTCTAAGTAAAATATTTATCCTCCTAATTATATTTTATACAAAAAATTCCCGAACAGAGTTATAAGTACCATAATAAAAAAAATAACACAAATGTGAGTTATTTACTGTAAATAAATGTATTTTTTTATATGTTTTTGTCACAAAGAATAATGAGATTCCGAAATAAAATCATAGCAATACGTAAATGCAGTTTCTCGAATAATAAACAAGTTGTTAGATAAATTCTCGTGCAAAGAACAGAATATTTCGAGAAACATTGCAACCATATATAAAAAAATGTTTCAAAATAATGTATAGAAAAATATACCCATATTGACAAAATGATAATGATGCATTAAATTGAAATCTTCCGAGTAATTTGACAGAAATATTTTCCAAAGATTTGTTTTCCCCCCTTTAAAATGCTTGTTGTTTACTATTTTTATTCATCATTAGACGGATTTGAAAATTTCTATAATATGATTGGCTCACGTTACAAATAAAAGTGATTTTTCAAATCTCTTGCATCCATAAAAGTAGCTTTTATTTCAAAATAATTGTGTTACTGCATTATTTCAATAATTAAAATTGCAATGTATTTTTAGTCGAAAACAATGGATTAAGAAACAAATGTTGTGCATAAGTAACTTTAAATTTTGCTGTAATGAGGGTTTCAGTATATTTCTTTTGCTTTCGAGTTTAGATTTAGTAAATCGTTTGACAAATTTGGCAAAAATACTTATAAAATGTTTCTTAATTACATTATGATTTCATTTTATTTAAGTATATGTTTTATTTTCTAGAGGTTAATATTTTGCAACCAACTATTAAAGCTGGGAAAGAAAATGTATTAGCTTGCATGTAGTACTTATTTATTTAAATTAAGAAGTCTCCTAATTTGGTTTAATGAGATTCGTCGTGTGTTGTGGCACCAATTATGATATTTTTCAGCCAAGGCTGGAGCCAGACACAACATTAGCGGGTAAATAACAAATAATAATCAGTTAAATTTGATGCCAGGAACTCAAAGAGTGAAGACGTGAAAGGGTCTTATTCCTAGATTCCATATCTGTTTAGTATCCTAACGCTTATTTGTTGGTTTCATAATCATTTTATTTCAACAATAAATAGTTGTTTTTCATTAAATGTTTTAGTGATTAATTATTTTAGTTAATTCTTGTGTTCAATAACAACACTACAAAATTGCGTACTCATAACGAGCATACAGTATGATTATTTCTAATCATTTGTTCCCCTCAATATTTTGTTCAGAAACATGTTACGTAACCAATATTTATCTTTAAGAACTACAAAGTTGCCATTGGGTGTAAAATTTTTTACAGCTTCGTAAAATAACTTTGTTTGATTTAAGAATTGCTTAGTGAAAAAAAATGCCTTCTTATTCGAACCGTTTAGGAGTTTAATTTAGTTTTCAACATTTATTTGTGTTGTAAATCAAAGCAATATTTTTACATAAATTGCTATGCTTTCGTATCATGCATTAGAATCTTGCAAAATCCCATACTCTCATTATAGCTTTTTAAATTTCTGAACGAAGAAAAGAATATACACTATTGTTCCCCACATTGCTTGGTTCAGAAAATTGTCAACAAGCCAAAAAATTATATTTTTAACAACTGTAAAGTTGCCCGTGGTCGCATAGTTTCCCATCTTCCTGTAACTGCATATATATTTTTAAGAAAATAATGCAATAGGTACTATTAAGAATTATGCTGACTTTTTTAAAATGTTTAAAATAAATAAGTGAAGTAACCAAACATCGGATTTACATTTTTGATTCTAATATTTCTAATCTTTAATCAACAGAAAATGAATGTTGGAGATCAAAGTATTTCCTTATTTCAGCACTAGAATAAATTCTTTTGTAATAATTAGATATTAAATGTTTATTTCACTGAACTATGTAGAAAACAGAAGCAGGGACTTTTTGAAGCAGGAACTTTTAAAGACACCAGAAATTATGCTCTAAAATATCTTTCAATTTTTGAAGTGGAAACGCGTTTCCTGTATGCGCACAATCATATTTAAAAATATATAGCTCGAAATAAAATTAACAAACCATTTCGGACTTCTCTAAAAGGCTTACAGTAAATGAGAGAAGTAACCAATCTCAAGATTTACATTGTTTGATTCCAACATTTTTAATCATTGATCATCGGAATATGAATGTTGGAAATGAAAGCCTTTCCTTATTTAAATGTTAGAATAAATTCGTTTATTACGTTGAGAAATTAGAAATTTATCTTATTCAAAAAATCATCTGACTGTTGCCCCTTTTACTGTTTGATACAGGAACTTTTTTCAAAACTCTCAAAATTATATTCTAGAAATGTTTTTATAGTTGCCTTGATAGTCAAAAATTTACTGGTTTGCAACAATCACATTTTTTAAAATAAACTTAGTTCAAAATCAAATGCTAAGGATTATTTGGACTTCTCTAAAAGGCTTAAAATAAATTAGAGAAGTAATCAAACTCTGATTTACATTGTTTAACTCCAATATTTTTATTCTTTAATCATCGGAATAGGAATATTGAAAACCAAATCTTTTCCTTATTTCAGCGAAGGAATAAATTTATGC